AGTGGAATGAGTGACCTGCACGACCCAGCTTGGGTGGATTGTAGAACCTCCAAAGGCCCTATAGACTGTGTCTTCCATAGTAGAAACGCATCCTGACTGGTTGGTGCTAATGCTAATGGACTTCTCATCTATTGAGTATAGAAACGGTCAAGGGAGATAGCACTTGTCCGACTTTTCAACCCCCCTGACAGCAAAGCTTGGGACCCCAAGCGACGGAACCTTCAATCCTCAGTTGGGAGTCTCTACGACCCTCCGGTTCAGGAGCATCGGGATGTCCGAGCGATTTAGCACCGCTTCTCGACCATTCTCAGCCACTTTGGGATCCACGACTGACCATCCTCAGGGCCAATATGCCATAAGGACCGCACAAGATATAGTCCCCATACCAGGACCATACGGACCCCCGCCCTCAGTTTCCGAACATGATCAGGTCAACCTCTAACCTTCCATCTCTTGGATTGACCAGGGCCATACCGCCAGGACCATACCTGCGCTCCATCACTTTCTCCACCGATTCCTTGCCGTCGGAGTCGCCGGTCTCCGTGTGCGTGGCGGTGGCGGTCGCCTTGAGGCGGCCGGGCTCGACGGTCGTGGCGATGGCCCGTTCGTCCGCCATCGGCCGCCTAGAACCTCCATGAAACGAAGATAGGGCAATAGGCCCAGGGGTGGATGTGTGGCCAGGGGCGGGTTGGCATAACACCCGAACCTGAGGGGAAATCGGAGGGCTGCTTGGAGCCCTTAGCCTTGGGGGTGAGGACGTTCAAAACGGGTCCGACCGGACCAGTTGGCGGGTCGTTTGCATCGGAAGCAGTTCGGAGTAGGTCCAGCTCTCTGAAATGGTCACGGTCCTTTGAGAGGGGCTCTTGACCTACTGGAAGTACACAAGTGCATGCATACCCTCCGCCCAAACAATGCTCAAGGAGATCACGGCCACAACTCACGACTCCGAGGACAGGGTGCATCGGTGTTTCTCCGTCTTCAACTGCAGTCCCTAAGCTCTATATCAGGACGCACCTATTGGTTCCTGTCGGCTGCTTTCAACATACGCAGACATGTAGTCGCGCAATTAGTTGACAACCTCATGCAGAACCCTCCCTGGTCTTAGTTGGCCATGCTGTCGGCGCCTTGATGGACCGATCACGGATTCGAGACCAGATGGACCGATGCTCGGCGAGCGGTAGCTGTTTGATCGGACCCTGCGGAAGAAGGGTGGCACTAGGATGAACTGTGGGTTTATAACAGTTCCTAGAAGTTATGAGGTGAGTTGCAAGTGTTATAACATTTACAGGTCCAAGTTATAACCATTTACAAAACTGGTTGTAAGCTGTTATAACTACCTATAACTACTTATAAGTATGCTAAATGGTTGTAAAACTTAGCATGAATGATGTTAAGTAGTTATAAAGTTTATAGAACTTATGACTTCAAGTTGCTAAGTGTTGTAGAAGCTACACTATATATATAGTATACCATGTTATACCATACTTATACGGTATATATAAGTATGTTATAAATACACTTACAATGCCTAATAACCTTTATAAACCCACGGTTCATCCCAGCATAGGGTGGCAACAGAACCCCCGAATCCACGTATGTCGACATGTTAGATCCCCCCATCTGCGTCGCCCATTTTGTGGGCCTTTCTTAGAAGGCTTCTTCTTCTAGCTTTCTTAGACCCCAAGTGACCGTCGTATGGGTCATCGTCTCCGTGTGCGTGAGGGTGGTGGTCGCCACGCAGCAGGGGTAGCTGCAAGCGGTGTCACATCCTCGGCAAGCGGCGCTTGCGCGAGCGCGACCAGGTACGGAACATCGAGGGTAGACCTATTGGGACTTAAAAATAGAGCATTTTACCAGGCAAGCGGTTATACCAAAGACGTTTGAGACTACAAAATGCCAGGTCAACCGTTTGATTGGTCTTGGAGTCTTGCTGTAGGGCGACCGGGTGTATAAAAATTGGCCTATGATCCGACCTCCAGTGGGTGGTGGGTTTGGAGGATCCAAAGAACTAGGAGGTCGGTGTAGGGGATAGATTCCCATCTAAAGTCGTTGGCATCCTCCTCTCGAGGGAGTTGGAGTTTTGATTCTCTCCAACCGAAAACGGAAACGGAGATATACCTATAGTATACTATAGACCCTCTATGATCGCTGCGCCCTCAGCTAAACCACCCCAGGACCCAACATGCAGGTAGAACATGGTCGAACATCTTCACCTTCACCAGGGTAGAGCAAGATGTCCACTGATGTAGAGCATGGTGTCCCTCTTTCGGGCACAATTGCCACAGCTCAGGCGACTAAGACCCGGTAGACTTGGCTCGAAACAACGGCTCGGTCGCCCAAAAGCCTCGTGTGCATTTATGGAGCACAGTGAGGAGGGACATCTGTTTTTTTGGAGTGTTGCCCACTTCCCAAACAAAACAGGATTTATATCATGGCACAATCACCAAAAGGTGGTTTATAAATCTGGATCCCCATCTAAAAGACCTCTTGGGGTTTCCATCTACTCTAGAAACCACGTGAAAGCATTGCATGCGCCGCAAAAAACTCTGGTTCTTCATTCAGATGTCTCGGCATCGATCGCATCTTTCTCCGCCGTTCCAACCCCTAAAGGATCGAACCCAACGTACACCAAGGTGTCAGCGACGGGGTCGGTCGAAGCCAAGGTGCCGTCGATGTCCATGATCCCACTACAGGTGAGACCAGCCTCCGCCAACGTTTGGCACGAAGCGCCCCCACGACAGGGGTCCGTCCACCTGCAGGGCACCGGACGAGAGGAGTCCACCGTGGCCGAGAAACGAGGTCGACGGATGGACGTGGTTCTCTCTTCCGAAAAAGGAAAAAAACCAGCGGTGTCATTATATGTATGTATAGTGGCTGATTCAAGTCAAAGGTTCCACAACTCATTTTCGAGACCTTCAATTTCCTGGACTCTCTCCCAATCTCTCTCTCTCTCTCTCTCTTTCGCGAGCAATTCTTTCTGCAAAGACAGATGAGGTCATCACCCACTGCCAGGCACCCATGCAAGGCGATTTCGCCAAACACTGGAAATTTGTTGGGTGGTGACGCCGCGTGAGAAGTGGAAGCGGAAGCATGGCCAAAGTTCGGCCAAACTGTTCCATGACATTCCATGAACACTTAAAGAGACTTGTTGGAATCGGTTCTTTCTTCTCCAGTCGCAGCCCCTTTGTGGCGGAACATTCATTATATACCATCGAGCTTGAACACCTTATCATACCTTATCCATCGATGGCCTGCCAGGGGTGAGTCATAAGTCATAAGCACATCCTTTGCCTAGCTGAAGCCGGTCGGACGTGACCGCTGAGATGATGGGGCCTGGTGGACTCCTGGAAGCCGAATCCCAATCACCTGTTCGACCATGGGGTGCCATGGGCCCTGGCCAAACCAGCCATCGCCCCCCCCCCCCCGCGGGCGGCGAGTTCACGGCGCCTGTCATAGGCACATCCCTCGGGCCGCACCACGTAGGCCAAATCGGAGCCCCACGCGGCCCGAGACAGGAGCGCTCCAAGGACGGCTCGCATGGCGGTCGGATGGCTAGGCCCGGCGCCGAGGTCATACAGCTGCGGGCGGCGCCAGCTGAGGGTGACGCGATTTGGGTTGATCAGGAGATCGGTCATCAAGTGATGTGAGGAAGCACCATCATGAGGTCGAAAACCACCAACAAAGGATATCACATCAGTTCTTGTGGGAACGGTTCAAGCCAAAGAGAGGTTTGGATGGAGTTTGGTTGGCTCCAGGACCAAGGGAAGACCATCGTTCAAAACCCACGGACTCGAACTGCGGCGCGGCTCCCGCGGTCGGGGACGGTCGAATCCAAGCAACGCGACGCGAACGGAGACCTGAACCCTTTTTTCGCCCCTCGACGGAAACACCGAGGGCAAAAACAGCTCTTAACAACATCTTCGCGAGCATCGACTGAAAGTGAGTTCGCAGATTCTTTGCATTTTGTCAGGTTCGTTTAGATATGTCTAGATAGTCTCTCAATGTTGGGAGACTCAAAGACCATACACCTACCAAAAAGCAAGTTAAAAGCCACAAATGGGACCTGCAGGCGAATCAAGTTGCTATGGCAACCATTTCTGCATTGCGCTGCCTGACATTTGCAGCCCCTGCCGCCAACCCTGAAGAAGAAACAGCCGCTTAAATCCATGATTTGGTTCACGGAACATATGCAGGAAACCTTTGTTTTCACCCCTAAGACAATATGGCTTTCCTGTAGATGTTCCCTTAAACCAAGTCTGGGATTAAAATTGTAGATTCCCATCTGCCTGAGGATGATTCATCATTGCAGTTGGTACTAAGAGCTTGCAACGTAAATGAGAACACCGAAGCTTTGGTTTAAGGCTTTATGGCAACATATGACAACCATCCCCCGGCACACACCTTTGGCCCTGACACCTAGGTCTTAGTTAGTAGCAGAAATATGAGTGGCAAGGTGCTGGGTCGTTGGGGGTTGGATTGCCACCTCATGATGATTTAAGGTTAATGTTGATATGTTGAAAGGAACTCACACATGGTCCCAAACATGTCAAAAAGCTGAAGGACCAGAATGACATCCTTATTTATCCCAAAATCCATCTCAGCAGCACCTCCGGCCAGTCCGTCAGCCGCACTTACACAGATTTGCACCTTGGAAAGTAAGAATAGTAACAAGGACGCTACTAGGTGGAGGCCATCTAGGTGGAGGCCATTGCCACTAAGAACAAGAAGCTACTAGTAACAAGTAGCAAGAAGCTACTAGGTTGGAGGCCATCGCTACTAGGTGGAGGCCATTGCTATTGGGTTGGAGGCCATCGCTGCTAGTAGGGAGAAGACTCTTGTTACTAGTAGCGATGGCCTCCAACCTAATAGCAATGGCCTCCACCTAGTAGCGTCCTTGTTACTATTTTTGCATGTTCTCTCCTTTCAATTCCTTTCAAGGTCTCCCCCTTGCTTGTGACCATGGCCTAAAGACCATTGGTCACAAAGCCATACCACCCGGCCTCCAAAAAGCAGCGTCCGAAGCTGCATACTGCTGTTGAGGTTCATCTTGTCCTTGTGCGGTTGAACCGAGCTGGTTTCTTCGGCAACGATTGCTTGGTTGACTAAAGATGTCAGGATATCACCGGCAGCGTTGGTATCAACATGTGACCTACTTCCCCTGCAAATTCACATGGAACCCCAAAACCACGTGGCGGTAGTAGCAAAAACTGGTCGAAGCCACCGATCAATTCTCCGGTTCCATGTTAGATCGGGAGGGTACAAATCTGCTATTTCAAAGAAAACAACTCCCAGACACTCCATGAAACTGCAATATATGCCGCCCCATTGACCCCCCTGGCACCATCCCAACTGATCGGCATATACGGCAGTCCCATGGAGTGTCTGGGACTCACATTGACCTCAACCAGAATGTCGAGGCCGAGCTCGGTCCGTCCGGACCTACGTCCGAGCACCGTCCTGACCTACGTCCGGTCGCTCGTGCGAGCTCGGACGAGCTCGGTGTTGGCCAACTCGGCTCCTCACCGGCCCTCCGTGAAAGGAAGATGGTTGGAGATGGTGCATGCCAGGGGTCGAGAGTATACCACCCCACCGGCTTTAAAGATATGGGCCGGTGGGAGACCAAACCACCACCATTCAGTATCCAATCCTGCAGTGAAAAGGTTCTTTTGTCTTCTGGATATACATGCAGCAAAAGATCCGGAGGGGTATAATGAGCGGCTGGTAAGAGCCGAACAAGGGCCCACACCAACCAAACTCTGATGCTCACTGGTGCTTGATTTAAACAATAACTACGCAGCTCCTGGAATTAATCACTCTATACTCACCAAAAACATGTCATTTTTGTCTGACTAAGGAAGGATCTACGTGCATCTTTTTGAAGCGAGAGGGGCTTTTGCCTCCTCTGTGGGCTTTTGGCTCTGCCAAACATTGAAGTTCACAGTTCAAAAGCAAATTTGACTCAAGTTGAAACAATCCAATTCACTCGAACCTATAAAGCGTGTGTTTATCGCTAAGCATACCACCGCCCCCCCCCAACAACAAAAAGGTAGAAAACAACAAATAAAGCAACTATAAACCAACAGAAAACACACGTGATCTCTCACGCTTCCGCTGCCCTGGTGCCGATTCGCGCCCTTCGCCAAGCGGCCGCATCGGGGTTCAAACAGTGGCCCTGGGGATCCCGGATCTCGCGGAGGAGCTCCTGGAAGCGTTGCCGCAACCTGCCGGACGGAGCTCCGTGCGGAGGTATTCGTGCCGGTGGCGGACGGTTCTGGGGAGATTGGCCAAGGTCGGCACTGGAATGAGCCGAAGGCACGCAATAGCCGGGGGTCAGCTGTCAGTGGACGTGCATGAAAAGTGCAGGATATGTGACATAAATCAGTTCAGTTCAGTTCAGTCGACCCATGGACGGTTCTGACTGGCAATATTGGACATAGCAAGAAGGACGATCAGCAAAACGTGGGGGAAACACCTGCCAACCCTCCTGTTCATACTGTGGAGGGGACCTTGACCGCTCAGTCGCGCCACTGCTTCCAGTACTCACCGAACAGCACAGAACACCCATTCAACAACCCATTCACCAGCCAAAAGCAGCTGGTGAAGTTCCACTTCACCAGCCCCCCTTCCACCTCCGTCCTCCTGCGTATGTCCCGAACCCCCCCGAACCCTCCCCGAACGACGCCGCCGCCGGTGCCATGCGCGGAACGGGCAGCGCCCACCGCGGACGAGGCGCCTTTGGAAGTCAGCGCTGGCGTCGTGCTCGATGCGCTGCAGGCTGGTGCTGTCCAGCAAGATCCCTCACCGATGGAGGTAGGATAGAGTGAGGGGAAAGGTGGGGGGGGTGGGAAAAGAACAGGATCTGAAGTGAAGTTCATTTGGACAACTAGAGGGTTGGAAAGTGGGAAGATCGAATCAATCAACTACCAGCCAGGGCCATGTCTAATGGAACTTATCGCGGAAACCCCTGCTCTCGTCTTGCTTCATCTTTGAAGCTGCTATCGATGGTTCCAAAACAACATGAGAGTCAAACCCTACACCTCTAAGTACCTCCTCAGAAGGTCTTTGGACCCTCCTGGCACCCACCCCAAACACCTTCTCAGAAGGTACTTGGAGGCCTAGGGAACTAAACGACACATGAAATGCCGTGTCATTCAACAAAAGACTCCAGAGTTGGACCTGTGTTCCTGCCTTGGGTTCAAACCAACAGAAACCTGCACGTCAGCAATTGAGCAAACTTTTCAAGATCATCTACTCAAAGGCACATAGGCACATCCCCATCCCGAACAGCTGGCACACCAGCTTTGGAGATGGTTTCAACCTTGGGTTTTTTCCACCATCTACACTCCTTGGAACAATTATGGCTGTGGATGGCATGGCCTTGGAATACCATTTTCCTATACAAACAGGCGGTTTTTGCACTTCCATGTTTGTTGCAGGGAGGGTACTTCCTTGCAAGTGCTTTCTCTGCAAAAAAAGGGCCCGGTAGAAACTTCCCAAACCGGACCTCTCCGCGGACATCGCCGACATCGCCCGCGGACGCCCGCGCCTCGTTCCTGCATGTTGACCAAGCACTCTGAGAAGCGTGAGGAGAGGTGCTCGTTGTAGAAATCCCACATGGTTTTCCCTGAACAACTCCCAGACGCTCCATGGGACTGCCATATATGCCGCCCCATTGACCCCCCTGGCACCACCCCTGGCCTGATCGGCAGTCCTATGGCAGTCCCATGAGTCGTGTCTGGGACTTGATGGGAGCCACAGCATCCGCAGCGTCACCGGAGTGACGTAGCATGACATTTTCACGTTTTCCGTAGCATGACCTTTATCGAAGCTATGCTACGCTTCGTAGCTTCTTGCTACTGAAACTGATCGAACATGCCCCACCTCAACCGTTGTGGTGTTTTCAGAACTGGTGTTCCTGAGAGATGTTTTTCGTGCAGAAAATGATTTAAAAAAAACACAACATGTTGTTAAATAGTTTTTTTGGCTGACACATCACCAAAACCTAGGTTTTGAGTCATTGTTTGCTTCAATGTTTTGTTGTTAATGCATAACATGATCAACAACACTGTGTTCTTTACAGTGTCTTTTGGCTGAAACCTCAGGAAAACCGAAGTTTTTAGCTATCATGTTGCTTCAATTGTTCAGCCCAGGCCGACAAAGGTCTAGAGGGAAAACAAAAAACACATGTTATAAAACAACAAAAACAATGGTTGCGACAAAATGAGGATACTGTAGGATTGGGATTTTGTTGTTTTGCCTTCGATCTGTACCAAACATTGGTTTGCTTTTTGTTGTTTATGCTTTGTTTGGGTATATATGTTGCGTTTTTTGGTGTTGTTTCTTGATATTCCCTCTAAACCTTTGCCAGCCTGGTCAGAACATTTGAAGCAAAACAACTGCTCAAAACCTAGGCTTTTGTGAGGCGCAGTCTCAAAAGGCTGCATCAGTAAGGTTATGTATGTCTTGTTTATGCTCAAATGTATTCCATTTAGAGCACTGAAAGGAAGCCGCTTCAACCTTCACAAGGATTACTTCATTTGCTTAATTACCTTCTTGAAAGCAATCAATAATAGGTACGCATTACTAAAGAAGCTAATGAGCTAGACCATGTTGCAACAGCATCAATTAACTTTTATCCAGCCAACATTATCTATTCTGGTGTCCTGTCTCAATAAGTGTTTCTATTGCTACAGTAGGTTGTATCTGTCTGTCTTGCTTAAGGTGTTCTACACGTTCAAACGTGCCTTAACATTGAGCACCAAAAAGGAAGGCTGCGACAGTCTTCACAAGGCCTTTTTCTTGGTCAAGTTGCTTTGTTTGGCTTAGCTCTTTCTAAGAAGGTAAGGAGCTAGACTAGGCACAAGAAGTTTGATTGATTTCTACGTCAAAAAAAACGATACACACACACATATATTATATATTACGTATATTTCTGTTTGGTTGCCTTGTCGTTGTTCTTGTTCCTCTTGGTTCGGACAAAATGACAGCCAAAGCCAAATTCATACGGCAATGAAATCTGTGTTACTTGGATTGCTTTTGAACACTTCATGCATTTCGCCTAGGTCTCAAAGCCATTGTTGTTTTGTTCTAATCACGCCGCGTGGTATTGACCGTGTTTTTGGAGGCCCCGCTCTGTGCTCCACATTCTGTGCTCCACGTGTCACGCCCGCTCTCTTCCTCTGCGGTTCTCCCCAAACACCCGGTTGGGGCCGCCCACGCGAGGGGCGATCTCTAGAGTCGCTCCAGGGATACAGTCCAAACAGCTCCATTACAAATGGAATATGTGAAAAATTTACGTACCTTGGGCTGGTTGAAAAGGGGTCAATGTAGGCATTTTTTTTTTCCATCCATGGAGTGTCTGGGCATTGCATGGGATTCACCACTCATCTTCCGGGAGGAAACCTCCGTTCCGCCTGTGCTCAGCTGCACGGAGCCCGAAGTACCAGCAGCGCCTGGCAGGTTGGTGGTTCCACGGTGGAAGAAAAACGACCCGTGGACAAGAGCGAGCCTGGCTCTGACGATGGGCATTCATCGACCTTTTCTGCAGTGAAACTGGCTCTCTCTCTCTCTCTCTCAGAGTGTTCGATACCGAAAGGTTGGCCCTTTTTCCATCTGTTCCATCTGTCGACAATTGAAAGGCGGCCACACCGCTGACACTCAGGTCGGAACGGTGTAAAAGGAGATCCGAAATGGACATCGAGGTCACGCAACAAACTAATTAGCGACTCTCTGACACTCAGCTCGAACTGGCCTGCTTTTTTTCCATCTGTTCAGGTTTCGTGGGACACTCCATGGGCCAACCCCCACACCTCCAGAATCCCCACAAAAAGGTGACCTGCAGCTGGTCCACGTACTTCCTTAGCTATAGGCCCGAATCATCCCGTGTGACCAATGCAACTCCTGGGTGGAGGATCTCTCTCTCTCTCTCTCTGGTCAGTTTTTGCAACTAGACCAGCAGTCACAAAGGGGTGCTTAATGGAGGTTAGGAGTGCCCATTATCCACTCACTTGGAGACTAAACACCACCCCTTTGTGACTCCTGGGATAGATGCCTTCATGGCATCTCATCGCATCTCATCAAGCATCCACAGTTCCCACGCACGGAACCAAGTGGGGCGACGCGCCTCGGGCTTCGGCCTCGGCATTCCCCTGACGTGATGCGTCTTGAGCAAGGACATCAGTCAAGCACTCCTATTCTAATCCCCTCAGTTTTTCTGGAAGATACTGTCGGAACCTTGAGTGGGGAAGCCCAATCCCCAAAAAGGGCTTTGCGGTTGTCCACTACCTGGGAAAGTGTTTGAACGTCTCCTCACACTTCCCCGTCTCCTCATTCCACGTCGCTGTTGTGTGTTATGAGGATGCTATGAAGCAAAGGAATCTCAACGCAGCCGCCCAAAGTTCCATAGAAGCTTGAAGTCCTTTATACTTCCATGATCTAGAATCTAGAATCTATAGCATATCAACCCAGGTTCCTCCAAGCAAGCATGTCCCAAGTTCGAACCCCCATTCAAAGCAGGCTGCCGGCTTTGCGGCGAGCAAAGCCTGAACATGACTCAATGACTCAATGAAGGAGCACCTCCCAAAACAAGAAGCGCTGAAGCGCTTTGCCACGCCTGCCGCGGCATGGTGAAGAATGTGTGCTTCCTGGGGACGATGATACGGGCAAAGCCCCCGGACCCCCTGGCGAGTGCGCTTGGAAACATGTTGTGGTGCTGCAGGTCTCAACTGAAAGAATGGTGCGTATGGTGTTATTCACCAAGCTCTCCAAATGCAGAATCGGTGGTTCATCCTGGAGAATCTGTTGATTTTTGTCCAGAATCTGTTTCAATAAATCTTCCAAGGGTTTCCATTCGGTAGTCAAGGTGGTGTAAAGATAAGAGTCATCCATCAAGGTAAGTCATCAGATTGGGAAGCTCCTGTACCTGAAGAGTTCTGAATGCATTCTGTGTGTATGTGTTCAGGATTTAGTGGAGGCTAAGTGGAAAACCACCTGTTTGCACAGGAACATGTCATCCAAAGGGCCATGTTCCACTTCCATGATCATTTCAGAACGTGTATCTCTCCATTTCCCCTCTCCCTGAGATCAGCTTGTTTTGCAGGCGAACCAAGACCCCACACTGCTCAGCAATCTAACGAGCCAGTAGCTTCACCTAGAGCCATCCAGTCTTTGGCTCAGGCTTTCTGGGCTTCCCCATCTCACCAAACGCCCAAGGAACCAGTTCCATGGAAAACGGGTCGAAGCTTGGACCAGTTCGCGAAGAACGCATCCACTCCAATGGACTCGTGACGAACCTCCAATGGACTCGTGACGGACTTCCATGTCTAGACGAGGGGAGCACGTGCTCCTCTCGGCCTCCACAGGCCCACGCGGCCACGACGAGGCCATCGGCCTCTGCGAGCGCCGGAGCTCCTCTGCCACCTGGTTCGCCGCCGGTTGTGGAGCTTGGCTCCACAGGGAGTAGGGGCCAATCCGGTGGGAGGAGTATGGAGGAGTATGGGTTTAGTGCTGGGGCCACCGGGCCTTTGAGGATCGGAAAACAAGGCACTTAAAAGGAAGGTTTACTGGAATCGTTGGAGCTTCAGATGGCCAAAGGTGCTGGTGGCTTCGTTGGAGCCTTTGTTCACTGCGATTTGTAAGCCAATAGAAAAACCAAGTCAATGTCTGAGGGGGAGGTCCTGAGACAAAGACTTGTTTTGTTCGTTTGTTCTAGTTTTTGGGGTGGATTTTGGCACCAGCAAACAGCAAATGCACAGGGAATAGCCATGCTAAAGCCATCTGAGCACAAGCAAAGCTAAGATGACTATAGTTCAAAAATGTTCAAAAGTGATTTAAAAAAAACACATAAAACACAAAACAGGCTCAGAGTGAGAGCGTCCTGATTCTACTTTTTGGGGGGGTGCCCCCCCCCGGTCATTTCCATGACCCGACGTCTGCAGGATCGTCCAGCGGTCTGCCTGATCGTCCAGCAGGAGCTCCGCGACGTCGCGCCGTTGGGCCTCGCTGTTCCACGGCCTCGGAGGATCGATTCGTTCGATCCATTATAGCCCGTTTCGAGCTCCAGTCGCACCTCCGTTGGGCCTCGCTGGTTGGGCTGGGTGCCAGGCAGGTCTAACCATCGAACCTGAGGATCTATGGAGCTAAGGTACGGCGTAGGGTATCCCTAGAGCTCCAGCCGTACCTTCTGAATACCGGTGGGCCCGGAGAAGGGGCCGTGCCAGCCAGTCAGGTCCAGGCGGACCGAACCGGTTTGGAGGTACGACGAAGTCGGTGTAGGTTACTAATAGCTTCTTGTTACTAGTAGTAAGGCACTTCCTTGTTACTAGAAGCGATGCACTTGTTACGTTCGTGGCTTCTTGTTGAACCTACTTTTGTAGATGACTTTGTGAATATTGACTTGTAGATGATACTTCGCACACTCATCATACTGCCAGTGATCCTACTCTGTGATCCATTGATCCATAGTACTATGATACTTTTCATCTATATACTTTGCACACTCATCATCTGCCCATCTTTGACGTCCTGTGACCGGCCCACCCCTCGGTGTGACCGACTCGCCGTCTGCACGGTCGCCGGACGTTTGGTGCAAGGTCTCACGAAGAAGATGGAAGAGCTTGTAGGTGTAGACCTCCCACAGCTCAGCGCACTTGGTGCTGGTGCTTGTGAGCAGATTTGAACTCCGAAGCCCATCCGGATCTGTGAACGATTTAAGGGTCTTTTGCGTGGACACCGATCCAAATCACCTGCTTTCCTCATCAACACGGATCTACCGATCTATTCCAAGCTTACTGGTCTCGGAGTGCTGTCCCCAAAACATGTTCTCCTTGGCAACCCCGGCATTGACCCCTCTTTCCATGCTTTGGATGCATCGCACTCCAAGAATTCAAAGGCATCATATATTGGCTGCAGGTCAAAAAGCGAGGGGCCCGGGTTTTTGCCACCGAGTCATGAACAGAATTAATGGGCAGGTCAGTCAACCTGCCAAGGATTAGGGGTTCTGGCTTTGACCGAAAGCCATATGGTACAAGAAAGGCGGGCGACGGCCTTACCCTTGAGCCTGCCTGACCCATGTCCTGAGCCATGCTAATCTTTGCAACCTGGCCTGCCATCCAAACATTAAAAGTACCAACTCCCAACCTACCAAGACTAGCAGGAACGATTTCTTCTTTGCTTGTTTTTTTATTGTGTGCGTGTCACCCTCCGTTTCTAGGAGTTTGTTTACCGCTTTCCACTTTCACACAACCAGTCATGCAGGGACGTGCAGCATCTGTGACCTACTGCACGCAACGAAGCTATGATCACAGATGGGAAGGGATTGGTCCTGTACCTGCTCCGAACACAAAGACATCACTGGTCCGCCCTGCTGCTGTCTTTTTGATTTCACTGTGGTTTCCATGATACCTTTCCCCTAAACCACTCCCCCGCCGCTTTCTGCAGCTGCACTGTCGCAAGAGATTCTGAACAGTGTTGCCAACATTTCAAGTAATGTTGCCGACTCAGCCGCCGTGCGTTTCCCTCATTCCTTTCCGCGTGGATGATGAAATTGAATGAACCAGTGACTGAGTGTGTGTGCAGCTGAACAGTTGAACATGCCAGACCTTGAGTCTGTCATCTTGAACAGTGGCTCCGGCGCATGTGGCTCCCCACCGGTTTCCGGCGTTTGGGACGGCTTTTCGACAACCGCGCAATCGTGTGACCGGTGTCAATCGTGTGACCTGGAGAGGCAGCCGTGCCAGAAACCATGTGTGATACAACCTATTTGGAGTAGGGCCATCTCCAAATGAATCACTGATGCCGCCGGACGCGCCCGAAAACAGCTGGGCCACCGCACCGCGTCGCGTGCGGCATACAAGGCGAACTTCGGGAAGAGATCTGGGGAGTCAAACCTGGGCGGAAAACAGGTCACAACTCGATTGGTGGATGGTAGGGACAAAACAAGACTTAGACCAGGACCCTCCGACCTTCGGGGTGTCCAAGGAACTACCCCACACTACCTATAGGCTTCCATTGGGCACCCCTTGGAGGGTCCTGGTATAATCTTATTCACAAAATGGCACTATCAGTAAAGGGGGCAGCTAGTAGCCCTACGGTTGCCGGGCAAACTGCATGGCAGGTGCCTGAGCTTTCAGCAGTCAGCTTGGCAAAATTCTGCTTTCTTTCATCACACCGAGCACATGAAGAGGAGGGTTTGGACAAGTCTCTTGAGAAAAAGCCAAGGTGTGAGAGTGGATCCAGCTTGCAGAGCTGTTCGCTAGATCCAGCGTCCCGGGGACGAAGGATCGGACGCTTTCCACCACCAAATGCGGAGGGCAGTCGTGAAGAGATGCGAAGGGGTTTCCGAACTTCCGCCACGAGGCTGAGCTCAGCTCAGCGGGCTGCTCAGCTCAAAAGACCTGTTGATGGCTTTTTGTCTATTGTTTCGATCTTTAGACCGTAATTGTTCTTTCTTTCTAGACAGTAAATGCACTTTTTTTCCACAATTTGGTAGACTTACTATGGTCTTTTCATTCACCAAATGTTGGCCAAAGCTGCCTCTTTGGAACCCTTGCCTAGCTCGAGCAACAAGTAAAGGTCAGCGCCCAGCTCCAACCCGAAGTCAGCTCGTTGCTCATTAACGACGAAGATCTGGTTGCTTAAAGCTGGCCTCACCATACATGTCCCGACCACGAGCGTGGCTCTGTCTCTTTGGGCCAGCCCGGGCGCTACAAACACCCGGGCGCCGCTCGCCCACCATACAAAACACGATTCATTGGCCTTAAGTCCCTAGGGATCCAAGTACCTTGTCAGAAGGTGATTGTCAGTAGGTGCCAGGAGGGTCCAGTCGTACCTTCTGAGGACGTAGGACTGGATCCCTAGGGATCCCTCCTCTCCCTTCAGAACACCTCGCCACATGTCACATGAGGTCCCAGGCTGCTTGAGCGCGACATCCTGAGCGGCCTCAGGTCCGCTTGAAAGCGGCCCAGGACGGGAACCCACACATCCTTGCTGGTCCAAGGTGTCCTTTAAGGCCTATAGAGCCTGCCAGGGGCCTCCAAGCTATGCAAAAATGAAGGGTTTTCAGGTGTTTTTGCTGGGGAACAACCAGGTTTTCGGATGGTTTGTGAGGCCTCTGGTATGTAACAACCAGGCTGACCAGAATCATCCAAGAATCCTGAAAACGCTAAAGAACGGTGGGGGCTCTTCGGTTCCAGCCGGCGAAGCGGGGAAGCGAGCTCTGGTTTCAGGACGGTCGCAGTCGCATGGGTTTCGTTGGACATGTGCTGTTGGATTTCATCTGAGTTCCCAGATATTTCAGGCTCAACATCTTGCGAGGGAGGTTTAACTCCGGCCCTGAAGTCCTCAGGTTCCAAATGGCACAGTTCTCACGTTCCGTGGCCCTGAAGGCTGGTTTCGTTTCTTGATCCAGTCGTGGATCTGATGATCCGCAGTGGGCACCAAATCCCCTGGTGCCAGATGGTCCCAAATAGAAACTCACACACCCACACACCCACACACCTCAACTTGACCAAGCAACCCAACCCATGCAAAGCAGTTTCCCTCAGGTTGGCCCCTCCACATGAAGACAGCCGTCATCCTATGTCTGTCTTCCTCTCATCCGACCGAATCCGGCCGAACCGTTGGGCCCGAATCCGTGATAGGAAGCTGAGAATCAAGCAAGAGCTGGGAGAACAAACAAAGGGGATTCACCCATAATTAGGGGGGAGAGAAAAAAACACATAATAACCTCAAGCCCAAAACCAGGGTAAGGACACCCAAGCACCCTCACTCACTTGGGGTGCTGCAGGCCCCCAGCTCAGCTCAGGTCGCGGCTCCAAAGAGCTCTGCAAAGCCTTGCGCCTCCTCGCCGGCCAGGCCCTCAGGTTCTCTGCGAGCTTTTTGTGCGAAACCATAGGGATCCAGCCGTACCGAACCTCACATGTGCGTTTTCTTGTAGATCATTTGATGTTTTTGTTCTATCAATTCGTGCGCCCTTGCAGTTTCATGCCGGTGATCTTCGAGCCACCAACAAAACACTTCTGAGACCTCGAACTGTCGATTGGAGAATTTCCAGGCGGATTGCTGATAGAACTGTATTACCATTTCATGATTCCATTTTGGAATATTAGTTATTTTACATGCATGGATGGTCTGGGATGGTCTGACTTATGGTCGCTGGGTTGTCTGATCCGCTGATCCGCTGGTCCGCTGATCCGCTGATCCGCTGCTCCGCTAGTCCGCTGATCCGCTGATCCACTGGTCCACTGGTCCGCTGATCCGCTGATCCACTGGTCCGCTGATCCGCTGATCAACTGGATCCGCTGGTCCGCTGATCCGCTGCACCTCTTGTCCGCTGATCCGCTGGTCCACTGGTCCGCTGATCCGCTGATCCGCTGGTCCGCTGATCCGCTGATCCGCTGGTCCGCTGATCCGCTGATCCGCTGGTGCGCTGATCCGCTGATCCCCTGGTCCGCTGATCCGCAGGTCCGCTGATCCGGTGGTCCGCTGATCCGCTGATCCGCTGATCCACTGGTCCGCTGATTTGCTGATCCGCTGATCCACTGATCCGCTGATCCGCTGGTCCGCTGATCCGCTGATCCGCGCATCCGCTCGCTGGTCCGCTGATCCGCTGGTCCGCTGATCCGCTGATCCTCTGATCCGCTGATCCGCTGATCCGCTGGTCCTCTGATCCGCTGATCCGCTGATCCACTGGTGCGCTGATCCGCTGATCCACTGGTCCGCTGATCCGCTGGTCCGCTGATCCGCTGGTCCGCTGATCCGCTGATCCGCTGATCCTCTGGTCCGCTGATCCGCTGATCCGCTGATCCCCTGGTCCGCTGATCCGCTGATCCGCTGGTCCGCTGATCCGCTGATCCGCCGGCAATGGTTGGACAATATGACACGTCCATGAGTGGGATGGTCTGGGGTCTCAAAACCCCTAGGTTCTGAGGGACCAAGGGCTGTGAACGGAGCGTCTGACTCTTGAGCACACTGAGAACTTCTGTTCGTGGCAGCTATGCAATCAATTCCGATTTATCAGTGCACATTCCTGTTACTAGTAGCTTGTTGTTACTAGTAGCGTCCAACCTACTTGCGATGGCCTCCACTTTAGTTGCGTCCTTCCAAAGAAATCAACCATCAACCTGAATGGCCTCGTTCACCTCCGCCACCCCCCAGTTTCCCCCGAGCAAACTTCTCATCCCTGGCTTCTCCGAGCGGCATAATGCCACGCAAGGGATTTCAAGTCATAGCCACCCCTCGTGCCGGACCAAATCTCTTGACGCACAAAAAGGAGTGTTCGCTGTTTGCTCCTCAACATGCCGTAACAAGTTTGGAAAAACAAAGATACATGTGTGCAAATCAAACAAATGTTCTCAAGTCTTGCACATTGTCACCCCAGCATAGACACCGGGATGGAATTAGACATGAAAAATATGAAAACCCTTAAAGTCCTTCCTGAAACCAACATAGCAGCTGGGCTTGGCAGCTATCCCTTCAAATTCCTCACCCTGGTCAATCCTTTAGGAGGGCCGCCGTCAGTTGACAATTTGTATGACTTGCTCCTGGAATCATCCGCACACATCCGTCCTTAAATGTTTTTTGCTTTGATTGCTTTGATTGATCATCCCAACATCTGTAGTGCTTTTAAAAACATTGAGCATGGTTCATTCAAACGGATTGGAGCGCCGCCCTCAAAACAACGTCTTCAACTTGAAATCGGGTGTCCAGGTTCACCGGTGACGGAACCAACAGCGGGTCAAGTCAGTGACTTTGACCAGGTCGATATCCCCCCACTCCCTTCGGCAAACGGTGGCGAAAAAAGACGGTTGCTTGTCAGGATAATGACCCATCACCGAAACCAACGTCTGGAGAGGGTCACGACATTCATGATATTGAAGATTTCATGACAATTCGGACCATGCATGATGTTAATTGGATCATTGATCATTCGATGGATTGGATGGAGAATTCGGCCGATTCCTGGATGATTGACGATTTGGATGGATTCACCACCCATCCAATCCCCAAAAAACTCCCAGCCATTGACCTGGCGAACGAGCTGGATGCCCCGTCCTCCGTATGGTGGCGACCTTCTGCATTTTGGCCTTGCGGGTGGCGGTTCGTGGACGTGTTTGCTGCGCGAACGGGCAGTGCGGCAGAACGCGAGTGGCCTCACCATCTCTGTTTCAATGAACTGTCCAGTCGGGTGCTGGCATGTGTTCCTCCAAATGGGTTTTGCACCCTCAAACACCGCCCACCCCAGTTCACCAAATAGTGTCTGCCGGTTTCCGCAAAGCAAGGGCGTGCACTTCTCAGATGCTCCTCTTCGGGGGCCTCAACGAGCAATATTTGGACACCACGATCTCATCACGAAGAGTCACGACCAGCTGACCCTTCGCGGCGGCGATAGGCACGAGCAGTGCACGAGCTGCACGAGCTTTCTGAAAGATATAGATGGCACAGACCTCAACTAGGACCCACAAGGGGGTGGTTAATGGACACCCCTTAACCTCTTTTCGGGGCTATCAATAGACATCAAACCACTGGTAACAAACGAGCAGCCCCACAGCGAAATTCGGCTGCCACCCTCGCGTCTGTCGCCAGTCACGTGACCAAGTGGATCCCTCTTCGAATTCCTGGAGTATGTAGGGGTGGTTGATTCTTTAAGGAAAATGTGCCACAGAATCAACCACCCCAGGTTCGCCCATCTGAAAAGCTTTACAAAATCAAACCCCCCAGGACGCAGGCAAGGGACAACTCCCCAGCCGATATTACAACATCAACTGTCCGAGTCTCGTCTCAAGATCCAAGTGGTCGCTCCTTGGCGTGGCGGGTAAAGGGGATGCTACAGAATTGTTGGG